GCTGAGGCAGGCAGGAAAAAAACTGTGTTGTGAACTCAGAATGAAAGCCTATGATTTAATACAAGCAGACCTCAACTGAAAAAGAATTATTGCTTAACTTACCTAGCCATACTTCAAGTTTGGCTAGGTTATCCTCTGCTCTTTCTCACAATCTGCTCTTCCCTCTTTTACCTTTCTCTGACACCACTGTGGTCTGCAAAGAATGCTTATGAGCATGGCTCAGGCAACACGCTCCCCCCCAGCGGTCTGCACTGCCACCAGCACTTCCACAGCTTGCAAGACAAGCCACAAGAGCTTTTAAGCAACAAGTAAAAGCAAAAAACCCTCAGATTTTCACAGCCCTCATAGGATCAGGTTACAGAGTTGGAGGGTGTTTAGAATAGAGGAAACTTGAAGCTAGCTGAATGCTTAGGATTGCAAACCACCATTACATTTACACCACGCCCCAAGCATGTCAAACACCACACATACCTCTCCATCTCCTGGAGGATATCTGGTAGAAGCAGTATGTCTTTTGTGATCTTGAACTTCTTCCCAAATGGAATATCCGAAATCACAGTATCAAAGCTTTCTGAAGGCAATGGCAATGCTGCAGAACAAAGGCAAGTCTTTACATCTGACTATCTGAAAAACGAACAGGAGCTACACTGTCATTCACCTTACAAAGCTGTCTGCCAGCTCCTCCAAAGGTCGCGCACCCACATTCCGAGACTCTATTTACCTACATGAACAGCACTATGAAGCCAGTCCCACACACTACCAACCCAGTGCAGACCGGGTAAAGACAATGGCATGAGACAGCACGGTTTAGCTCACAGATTCCCTGGTTACTGATGATACATTTGTCCCATCAGTAAGACTCTCCAAAATGGGATGTTTCCAAACTGCTGCTTCTCAACATGCAATCTCAACGTGTAAATCTTTACAAGTAAAGTGTGGAAGAAGTTAAGCTTACAAGCACTTTACATAGTGCAGATGTTCAAATGCATGCATATTAATGGCAAGGAGCCACATGTTAAATCTGCCTTCTCCTAGGAATAATGAGTTTTCTCTTCCTGACTTATGTGAGAATGACAGATATGTTGGTGGGTCCAGGCTGGGAGCCAAGCGGGGTCCAGGCTGGGAGCCAAGTGGCTGGGGTAGCAGCTCTGCAGAAGAGGACCTGGGAATGCTGGTGAACAAGAAGTTAACCACGACCCAGCAGAGCACCCTTGCTGTGACAAATGCCAACCACATACTGGGTGGTGCTGGCCAGCATGCTGCCAGCAGGTTGAAGGAAGAGAACAAGACCCTGAGCAACCTGACCTGGCTTTGGGGTTAGCCCTGCTCCGAGCAGAAAAGCTGGACTAAAAACCTCTAGAGGTTCGCCCTACCTAAGCCCTGCTGTGATTCCCTGACAGCCTTTCCAGAATGGCTAAAGATGGTTCGTGAATCATCCTTGGATCTGCACTTACAGTAAAACATTTTATCTACAAGTGGAAGGACAAATTTACCTACAGTCCTTCCCAAAACATGCAGAAATAACAGATTCTGACTTGTGCCTAGGACACCAATTATATTCATTCAGTATAAGGAAAGCCTGACATCAGAGTACCTCATAGAGGTCAAGCTCCATTAGGGCTTTACAGCCAGTTTTTCTAATAAGAAATAAATATTGCAAGGAAAGAAAAATAATTATGCTCCATCCATCTATGCACAGGGAAGAACAGCTAGCTTCTGTCTGTCATGAATTTCACATAAGACTAATACAGATTCAGGCGCTGAAGTTCAGAACAAGGTCATAAAATGATTACCTTCTCCCCAGACTAGTTCATGAGCTGAGAGCAAACTCCCTCCCTCTTTCAGGGAAAAGCCACCATCATTTAAAGTACATGTATTGCAAAACAGTAATAATTCAAAATTATGCTTCATGAGCCCCTGCTGTTATTGATTTGGTAAATTTAAGTTACAAGTCACATTACGTATGGATTTGCCTTTGCTGTGTTCCCATAATATACGTTTACAGACATACCTTTCACAGAAGCTTTAAGTAACTCAATCTTATCCACCAAGCCTGCAGTCCTAATATTCACATATGCACCCTCTAACTGTGAATCACTTATATCTGTACCCCAGTAACAGGCTTCCTGTTCAGAGAAAAAGGGAAAAATCATTTAGCTGACAAACAGGTGTATTTATTTTATAAACCCTCCACAGAACTGTTTTGTTTCACAGCTCTTTCAGGACAAACCCCTTGCTGGGAGACCCACTGCTACCACACAGAGCAATACATAGACCAAGAGGATGGAGGAATGGGGGAAGTTTGTGACATCCTCACTCCCTTCATGTTCCAGGCTGCTCAAGAGACCTGTTCAGACCTGTTCAGAGAAACACAGGGGCTATGTTGTAACAGCAGGATCCCAGCTACTTACAGACAGCTGCACTGCCTCTAATGCTAAAAAAAACTCACTGTAGTGTCCCATTGATACCTCTATTCCCACAATAAACCCAGGCATTTTAAAGGAAAGCCCATGGTTGGCTCAAACCCCGCACACGTACAGGGCTCCCAGCACCCTTCTGCACAAGCGTGTAGGACTGTTTTACACTCTTGTGGAGCAATGTCTTTACTAAAAGAGTTTTAACAACTGCCTAGAAAGACCTGTTTGGTTCCAATTTTCCAGTAAGAACACGGACTTCAGTATAACTGTGATACAGATTTCTCCTGATGCAACCACAGGCAGTCTTGGAAGGTTCCTCCTATTGGGATCATCACACTTACAGGCCACTCTTTTGCAGCTTCCAGTAGTATCGTTCCTAAGCCACACATTGGATCCAGCACAAAGGCACCAGCCTGCCAAAATAAAACAGGTTATTGCAGCCCAAGCAAGATGACAGACTCCTCTCCCAATGCAAAGCTTACTCTGATATACTCATCACCTGTAAATTACCGCTGAACCCCGCATGGGTAACAACGATCACCGCTTTACCACACCCAACTTGCTTGTAAGCCAGTATAATAAAAAGCATGAATAACTTCAAGACAATACATCAATGCCTCCAGTCTTTAGGTGACACTTAAAATATGACTGCAGCGTAGACAAATGTTGGTATCTACATTTGTCTATATGTCGATAGGGGGGGGGAAGGAGGGGGGGGGAAAACAGGTTTTGAAGTATGGAGAGTGAAAAAAGACATGCAATTTAGGCACGTGTCAGTACAGGGAGAAACAGCCTGACTAAGAAGAACCTGGGGTTACAACATACATTAGGCTGAACATGAGCAGTGTGCTCTCATTACAAATTAGGCAACCCTACCCTAGACAAACCCTACCCTAGGCTGTATTAGGAGCAACACGACCAGCAAAGCCAAGGGAGTTCCGGCTGGGTACAAAGTAAAACTGCTTGCCTGGGAGGGTAGAACAGCGCTGGGATAGGGCAGTTGCAGTTCTCCATCCTTGGAGGTTCTCCAGTCTCAGCTAGGCAGAGCCACAGCCACTTTGATCTACTGTTTTGGAAACAGTCCCACTCCAAGGGGAAGGTAGGGACCCCTTCAAACCAACAGTATGTCCCCTATAATCTCTTTAGCATATATTGTTTTGCTCTAGTATTCCTCTAGGCTTTCACACTTGTTTCTGAAACTTTGCACCAATACTATGCCTTGGATCAGAGCATAGGTATTAAAACCATAATACTTCTTCAGTCTTCCAGCTTCAGCCCTGACTGGCAGCAATCCCCCTTCACTAGGGTCTCTACACCTTTGCTGTGAACGTTCACTTACACTGATTTCAGCCAGAGATGCCATGGCCCATGCAATTGTTGATCGCAGTCCTGCTGTTTTGATATACTCCCTGTTTGCCAATGGAAGCCTGCAGACAGTAAAAGCAACATGAGATGATGGTACTACCAAGCCAGAAAAGCCCATTTAACATGATAGTCCAATGGAAGCAGACTTCTCAGATCTGCAAACAGAAAGACAGAAACCACGGTCTGCTTTCATCCACGAACTCACTGCAAAGCCTGGTCTACACTCTCAGGAAAGCTCCAGACAGACCACACAACTGTCCAATGAATATTAATCCAGAAGATCAATATTCACAGTGGCCAACAGGACCTTTTAGAAGTTATGCTTGTTCTGGTACTGCCAAAACAACTGGGGATGAGAATGCCTACCTGAAAAGGGGAATCCCCACCACAGAGTGGATGTCATTTAGATGTACAAAGATCTGAAAGAGGGAAAAACAAACATATACAACAGCATTAGAATCTCTCAGTTGGACATGATGTAAATTTAGCTCATTTAAACCAGACTCAGAAGATGTTTCTATGAATATCTGATCCTAGCTTAAGGACAAAAATGCATGCTTTAGGAAATTACAATTAATTATGATTAACAGAAGAAATCACACCAGGTGAATCCATTTTAAGTATTGAAATCTTTAAGGGAACCATTTTTTTGTAATGTCAAATGGATATCTAACTGTAAAACCATTTACTCTAAGCAGGAGAAGATAGCTCACTGTGCATACTCGCACCGGAAGAAAGTTCATCAAAAATTGAAATCATTCATTTCCCTTCCCCACAACTTTTTCCCCTTCCTCTTCAAACCAGTGCCTTTAACGCATATTTCAGATGCAAGGCAGAGGGGGGCAATACGTTCAGAAATACAGACAACATAAAGAGCTTGCTCTCCTGTGCCATAGAGAGCATCCCAAAAGGAGAAGGCTCTGAGCTCTCCTACAGCTGTTGCACGACTGCAATCCCTCCCCATAAAGCTCAAAGGAAAATATGCTACTTTTGAAGAGTCTCACTCTCCAGCACTTGAACAGTTTCAGAGTCCGAGTAAGGAGCAAGCCCCCTCATTCCTGTTTCAAAGCCTTATTTGATGCACCGCCTGGGAAACACAGAACCAGCGGATGAACAGAGCTTTCACAGAAGGCCTCAGGCCTCCCAGCATCAATGCTGACAGCAGCTTCTGTATGGCAAGCACAGGGATGCAGAAAGCTTGTCAAGAGCAAAGAGTCCTTCCCAAGGTCCCAGACAGCTTGCACCACAGAGCGTGTCTTAAACAAGCTGCTTACAAGAGACAGGGTCTAGGAGGACGTGTAGGGTTGCAACCTCTTCCCTAAACTGAATTCTCAAGTATGGAGGTCCTCAAAAAAAGGACCTTGCTGCTCTCTCTCTTCCCCTACACAAGCTAAACTGGCTGCCCAACGGCTCAGGTGTACTCCGTCTTTAACAGAGTCAACCAGAGTCCAGAAGTTTTTAAGGTTGCAGGCTTCTGAGCTGTCCCCTAGACAGATCCTTCCCCTGACAATACAAGCCCATGCTGGCCCTTCTGGTATTTACGGCTAGCGCTCAGGTGTACTGGGAGGCCTGTACACAGTGGCCAGTGAAAAGCTCTGCTCTGTGCTAGCAGATGCTCTCTGGCTAAACGTACTGGCAGAGAGACAAATAGGGAGAGTCCACAGTGCGGTGCACAAAGGAAGCGGAGAACAAAACACAAGAGATGCTGGGCAAATCCGGGAGTAGAAAAAGACCATCTTGGCAAACAACGCTACCTCTAGATCTGGATTCCGCAGATCA